TATCAGCAGATTGTTTTAGCTTATCGTCTTGAGAATGAATTATTGGCGGATTCTACAAGATTATTAGGTAACACTTTGGTTCAATTAGTCCAAAGAAGAAGCCAAACGGGGAAACAATACATGATATATGGTCATACCAGTCTTGGATAACGAAGTGGTTATGATGAAGCTTCGATAAATAGTTGTTTTTTGTTGTTGGTTTTTTTTTTTTTTGATGGTGGGATCATGGTGATAGTGGTGGGGACGAAGATGTCGGATCCTAAGGCTAGTGAGTAGGATGATGGGGGGTAGTGTTGGTGGTGGTGAGCTGACGGGGTGGTAGGATGGTGGTGGGGACTACTGTTCCTGGTGACTGGGCTGGTGGGGTAGTGGGAGTAGAAAGGGCTTTATCACACCTCACATAACACACAACATTGCCTACATAGCTGATTGGACCTTTCCACACCTCATTAAAAAGTGGTTGGCGGGGGCTCTGGTATGGTTTGCTCCTTCTTTCCTATCAGACATCTGTTGTCCTTATCTCACCTCCCTCTTTTTGTGTTTATTACTCTTTTGTAACACATCTAGCCTCTAGTTATCGGCACTTATATTATGACCTTATTGTGTTGATTGTGCCGTAAAACGGTTACTAAAACAACACCTCATTATACATGCAAGGGAGCAGATAGGACCTTACGTTACCCCCACTATAACTCACAACATAACATAATAATACAGTGCCATACCAAACCTCTTTATAACAACACAGCGGACAGGACCATTTGTCTCCTCACTATAACATGTCGCAGCCTACATCACTAGTGCTACTGATTGGAGTGTCTTTAGGTCATTCCCAAAGGAGGGGTGTATCTAGTAACATGTTCTTATGCACAGTGGAATTGTTAATAGGCTGATTTATCAATGTCATGCTCATACTGTGCCGGAACAATATTGGGGAATCTGCTGCTATTTCCGGGGTGCCTTGATAGACGAAGCAAACTTTTTACTGTTGAGCCTAGAGAGTTGAGCAGAGTAAACCTGATTCCCCTTTTAGACTTCTCTATTGACACCCCTTTGAGCTCATATGACCTTTTGCAGTTGCGAGCGCCGAAAAACATTACTAAAACTAAACTAAAACATAACCACACATCTCTCTATAATGCATACAGCATAGCATACGGTATCGTACCTCATAACCTTAGCATGACATTTACACCACCCAAATGTCATGGCGTACAGAACCAAACATCACCACTCCGTACCATATCATACCACACTCTTTACTCCTGTCAAACAGTTATTGTCCTTATCACTCCTACTTCTTCTTTGTGTTTGTTTATCTACTCTCTTTTAGTACATCAAATATTAGGCACTTATATGTCCTTATTGTGTTGTAAGTGCTGTAAAACTCTTACTGAAACTAAAACATCCCCCCTCCCCTCTCCTCCCTCCCCCTCCCCC